TTTACTTTTAATACTTAAGTACAAAAAATATCAGATACTTTAATACGTTTACTCAAGTAATATTCCTAAAGGAAACTTTAATGTTTACCAAAGTAATTTTTTTGGTAAGATACTTGTACTTTTACTCAAGTATCATTTTGTGATATTTTAAACAACACTGCCAAATTCTGGCATTAAGACCTCATCGCTGCTTTAAACTTATGTGCCTGGAGCGAAAATAGGTCAGCCATTAAGAAAAAAAAAGCTGGGTTTTATCTCAATGTGAGATCTTGATGTAAGTGGTCTACTGGCAGCCTCTTGGAGATTAAACATTTACCAAAACTGTGCCATGGAATGACAGGGTAAAATAGGGTCTTGCATAACGAGAAACGCCCTTTGCATTTGACCAAAGAATAAGAAAAGTCTAGACAGTTTGTCTCTCCAATACATTTACAAGAGGAAATCATAGCCCTTAGTGATCATTGAAATGTCTATTTAAAATAAAAACTACTTTATTGTACGGTCTCTGGGTCTTTAGCAGCTCTTTGAGAGGATCCTCCTAATATGTGCATAAAAATATCAGCTTCATTTGACTTCATTATCACCCGTCACTGAAATGGGAAGATGGACATTTCCCAGATATCAAAATATGAGTGAATCAAGATYGAAATGGTTAGGCGTTATATTGAATCCATGTTGAAATTATACAAAAAGTGGTCAGGGTTTTCAACARTAATTGATACTATGTTAATGTTGATTCAAYATTGATTRGAYGTTGGCWKTTCAATCATTAGAATTCAACCATGATGGTYATTTGGCTAGAATTGGATGATTGTTTGATGGTTGATTCATCAATCGTCAACCTTAAGCAAAAATMAACTTTCTTGACCATAATTCAACACCGAATTATCATCTTTTGCCATCTGTTTTTGCCTGTGTCTGTTAAAACATGACATGAAACCAACCTTACAGAAACTATGCATCTAAAACTGATTAGCTTGGCATCCGCAGCTAACCGACATTAGCGACACAGAAATAGCTACAACTCAGACAGTTTTACACATGTTGAACTTATAAAGAACCATAAAGACCTGTGCTTGAACCTTCAAGTTACATAAGACTTTAAAGTACAGTATATGTTTTCCAATCACTACCAAACTGCTGACTCCAGTTTAACAGTTGATAAACATAACAAAGCCTTTTTAGCAGATATTTCTCTGAGAAGCTGAAGAAGATAAGTCCTAAAGAGATAAACTCTTACAAATATGAACAAACAACCAATCTAACTGTTGAATCTGTAAATAAACAAGTGTTGGATAACAAGTTTGTCGCTCCAGCTGATGATGACAGWGTCTCGTTGTGTTCAGATTCAGTGTTTCTGCAGAAACAAACTCGTTTATTCCAGAACACGATATCTCTGCATCACAAACAGAAACCTTTTCACACGAGCCCTGTTTCACTTTGATCGTCTTAAACGTTCTCTGGAGGAAACGTTCATCTGTGGCTCAGGCTTTTTTTTACATAAAACAAGGGCTGCATTTTCTGATCCCAGTAATAACAACTCATGTTACGGCTCAGAGAGTTGTTTGTGTTTCCCAGGTCACGTCTTGTATTTATGTTAACTTCAGGCTGGCAGGCTAACTCACTGGTACATGTTTTCATTAAGTCCATGCAGGTAGAGCYGCGTCGCCAACAGTCTGATCTCTGACCTGGGCTTTAACGGCGGAGGGATCGGGTCGAAGCTCCACAGTGGGCTCAATTAAACTCAAGATAACAATTTAAGGAGGCATGACTGATTATGTAACCTTTTCAACAGACACTGATGTTTTGGTAGAGCCTGAGGAATGTCTCCTCTCTCTCTCTCTCTCTCTCTCTCTCTCTCTCATTGGGTTATTTTACATCCACAGCTATTTGCAGCAGCGAAGTTAGCTTTAGCATGATAAGACTGAACAAATAGGTTCTGTTCGTTAGATAACGGCCATGTGCTGAGCCACGGGCCAAAACACTGACACAAAACAAATTATTCTTTTTTTATTTGTTTCCTTCCCATAACCAGAGAAAGCAAATTATTTTCTCATTGTGAAATAAAAATAAAAAGAACAGGCCTGTGTTTTTATTTGTTAAAAGAAACATTTAAGGCAGCAAAACCCTTTTCTGGGTGGAGTTCTTCCTGTGCACATGTGGGTTTTTTCTAGGTACTTGAGTTCACCGAGATGAAGATTAAATCCGGGCTTGATTCTATCATCTGGCTGAATGGGATTCAATGAAAACCTTTGATTTTAATCACGAAGAGATCACTCAAGATATGGAGTTAAACAGAAATGTTAACAAATCTTTGCAGTTTTGCGACAAAACAACTTTAATCATGGCTTTTCCCCCATTATTCACTCAGGTTTATCGTACAAGTAATTATAGACTGATAGGTCAATATCCAGGCTCCTATTTTAGTTAGGTATTGACACTAAGCAGTGGGATCTATGCTTGTGTGTTGGGGGGGTTTTACCACAACAAGTTYTTCTAATTTCTCAGTTTCTCATTCTTATCGTCAGAAAGTCCCAGAATTTTAGGGCAATGATAACATCCATAAAGTTATCGTCATATTTCCCATATCAAGCCATGAACACAACTCTTCCTTATTTCAGTGACCTGGCTCACAGGTTATCTCGACACCATGCATTTTGTGCATTTTTGYGTCTTTTCTTCTGTAAGCAACAACAGGAACCTCTGGATAATTGGGCCTCTTCATCACCTTTTTTTCCAAATTTAGTCTGCGCCGTGCACAACGATGAGCTGTTTGGTGGCATGCTTTGAATTCTTCTGTAATGACACGCCGCTTCAACGCGCAGACAAACAACTCTCCCACGGATACAAAAAGAAAAAGCCGTGCGGGAAACTGTCATACCTTTTAGTTTCATGTCTAAGCCTTGTGTAAGAAAACCATCATTCTCACCTGCGTGGTACAGTTAAGCCAGGCGCAAGCAGCCAGAAAAAACATACCACTGACAAAAAAAAAATACTTTTCAGGATGTATGAGCATTGTGTTTCCAACAATAAAATACCAGAGTTTTTGCTATCCAAATGGCAAAAGCAAGTTTTGAAATTGGCAGTTTTACTATAAAAGTAAAAGTGAGATAAAATGAGACAATTAGGTAACCGGGTGTCAATTGTGAAAACGTACAAAAAAAATTGCTGACACATTTTCWTTATTTAGCTCACTTTCTAAGTGTAAAAATCCTTGTTAAAAATGCTCCAAAATGTAAATAGCAAATTTTAATGCAAAAACAAGTAATTATTAAATCCTAACTATAAATGTGCAAATATAAATGTAAAAGTTGAATGTTGTGGTTAAATCTTTAAGCACATCATTGGAAGTTAGTGTGCGGCTCTTTAAAACGTCTTCATCCTGCGACAAAAGCAACTGCTAACGCTAACGCTGCTAATGCTGCTAAAGCTTCCCCACAAGACATCAAACTTGCAGTTGCGGCAGGTGTCCGAGCTGCACTTCAAACTGATGGACCACAGATTAATAATCCATACCGTTTTCAATTAACACTTTTTGAATTTAGATTTTAAATTCATTTTATATCAGCGGTACGGGTTAGCCGTTTATCACAGGATGGTAGCCTACACACCATGACAGCTCAGTGACTACTTGTCACACTTTATACTGACCGATTGCAGCATTAAAAGCACCTGTGATGTTATTACCTGAATCTTTTATAGAGATGCCAACATTTTTGTCAAAGCCAGTTTAATTTTTATGTTTTTTTTAATAATCCTATGAAATTCTAAAGCAGGGCTTTTCATCTAAATTGCTCCGGGGACCACCGTTACTGCAGGTCAGCAGCTCAGGGGTCTGAATATCCAGCAATTAAAGTCATCATGCAAATAAACCAAGTATTACAAAGATCTGTTACATTTGAAATAGTTGTTTTTGCTGTATTTAATCATGAATACAACATACAGAACCTTATAAAAGTAGTGATAGTTAAACAATATCAAAAACAAACAAAAAAACACATTATGCCTCGTATTTAACACAAATATTATTGGGACATCTCTGACTTGCCAAATTTTTTAAACCAATTTTAATTTCACTTTTGTAGTTTTATCTTCAACTGCTTGTAATTTTAACTGTCTTGAGTGTGCATAGAAATGTTTTTTTACCAGCTTCTAGCAAAGATTCTGACATTTCTGTAGAAACCAAACATGTCTGTGTGTCTAACTAAAAAAACAGAGTAATTAAAATAAAAATCAGGGGGTGGGCTTAATGAATGAACCTATCAGCGGCCAAACTTTGGTCACTTGGGGGCAGGATGTGGCCCACGGGCCGCCANTTTCTTTCTTTCTTTCTTTCTTTCTTTCTTTCTTTCTTTCTTTCTTTCTTTCTTTCTTTCTTTCTTTCTTTCTTTCCTTCTTTCAGCAAAGAGCACATACTCATTTATTCGTATCTGCATCTAAGTTTCAATATGTCTCATAAAAACTAAACCCAAACACAACAGAAAACTGCTCATTAAACTCCTGTCTTCGTACCTGCTGTCATTTGTCACCGCCCACCAGCTCCGCTCCTTCCGTCCTGCGGGGCGCGTTGATTGGCTCCCTGCGCTGCGCGTCGGGCTGCCGGGGGCTGGTCCTGACTGGGGACTTTATTGCCCTGAATGTTTGGTTTCAGTCAAACCCAAGTCTCCAAATCGACTGAGCAGCATCACCTGTTTGGTTTGGGGACGCGTTTAACCTGGATTATCTCCCGGTGGCTCCAGCTTTAGTTGGCTCAAGCCGACTTGGGTTCTGTTTTCATCAACGGACCCAAAACCGCCCCCCTCCTTTCTCTCTCTTTCTGTCTGTAATTGAGGAAGCGACAGCTGTTTTACTTTTCAAGGATTTCATTGCCAAACATCTGGGCAACAATGAGCAAAAACGGAATTATGACAGAAATCCACACGAGGATCAGGAAAGAGCCCTTCACCACCAACTACGAGCTGGTTGGGAAAGAACTGGGCAGGTGAGAGGCTTATTTTTATTTTTTCAGAAGATTTGTTTTCTACTCGTGTAATCATATTAGATTTACTCTTTGCACGTGTTTGGAAAGCCTGTTAATTGAACATTTCCAATCCTTGCCTTCCTGCCGGTGGAGCAGCAGCAGCAGCAGCAGCGCGCTTGGCACGCGCAGTGCGCCACGGGTAATGCGCTTTTGTGGGATTTTGGTCTAAATCTTCCAAACTGATTTGTTTATTTTTTTTTCTTTGCAAGTGATGTGAATCAAAACAAAGTCCGCAATGAATGACGTGAACTTTTAATTAATGTATCTATAAAACCAAAACGATTTAAGGCTATTTCATTTGGTGGATAAACTGCTTGGGTTACCTGAAACATCACTTTTCTGCGGTGTGAAACTGCCTGCATTTTTGTTGAAGCCCACCTTATTGTAGTAGTGAAAGTAAACAATCAGGATTATGTGTTTTAATGTAGCTTTATTGTTGTTGTGACAAAATGTGACTGCAGGGAGAAGGATTCAGTGGAGGGACTTGTCTGCTCTTGTTCATTCACCACATTACCCTTAAATCTGATAAAACATCCTTTGTCATCTACAATCAGTCACCATTACATCTGTTTTCTGCACACAGTCTTTATCTTAATGTCATTTGAGGCAACGTCAAAAACTTTTCACAGAAAACCATGCTAAATTAAGATAAACTGCACGTGACCTTTGCTTCTCTGCAGCTGCTGCATCCAATAACCCCATTTTTAAGTTTACTCATGAGTCGATTCTTTAGAAAAGCTTGATGATCCATCACTTTAGGCCACAGCCATCATTAAAACAGTATTTCTATTTCCTTTTCTCATGATTTCCACCCAACAGCATCCTGAGAGGCCTCGGTAATCGCATTAAGGTGAAGGAATGTAYGCAGACAGGAAATCAGGTGTGAAGTGTGTACATGCATTGTGCCTGCTTCCTGTTCGCCACCTCCGCTCAGAAGATGCGCTGGCCTTGTTTTCGAAAGCCTTGTCGTCAATGTCAGGCTTTGTTTTCTGAGCTGAGCCCCCCCACCCCCAACACCCTCCGCCTCAGAAGGGCGCACAGAAAATTCTGTGGCTGACTCGAAAGCAGGAAGAGGAACTCGGTCCATCTGTCAAACAGGCAAATAAGAGCAGCGAGAGCCGTCGCTTCTCGTTGCACACCAGACGCGAGTCGATGCCCCCCTCCGCCGATGTGGGGGGCAAAACTCCACAGGAAACGAACTCCTCAATCAAATTATCACCGTTTCAAATGCAGGAAATGAGTTAGTTTTGTCTCACGATGAAGCGGATGATGGATTGCAGACTTGAGGGTAGCCCTGAAAGTTAATCTTAATCTGAAACATAGGTGACATTCTTCGGGGGTTCACGTGAGAGCCTCTGTATTAGCGCGAGGAGATTTTCTTTTTAAGGAATTAAAAGGTTTATGCTGAATTTTTCCAAAGAGCGCTGTGCTTTTTCTTCGAAGAGAAAAAAAAAAAAACACGACAAGAGTGTGAACACGGCCAGCTGGAAGATGGCCTTGTTTAGCGACCTCCGACCTGTCGACAACCTTTTTGAAGGCGCCTCCTGTTGCTCTTTTAAGCTGTCACCAGTCATTTCTTTTCACTCCGTATGTAGTTCCCAGCCCACAAATCTGCACTTGACTAATTAAGGATGAAAAGGCCGTGACGACTTTTTGCCCCCTTTTCACGCCGAACAATGACGCGTCGTCGTTTCACAAAGAAGTGGTGAAACGGCGGAGGAGAGTCTGGGCTTTGCAGCAGGCGCGATCAGAGCCAAAGCAAGAACCGGAGGCCACGGTGTCCATTTTCACAAGCTGCTTATGCTCCAGCATAATTGAAGTGGTAGAACCCCCACCCCTGCCCTGCCTGGTGTGACCGGCCACAATCAGGTGGGTGGTCTTGGTCTGGAGGCCGCTGTGTTTAGCTGACTGGTCAGCTTTTGTAAGACTTGTCAAAGAAGAATCAAGTCTCCAGCTAACAGGCTGGGCGGAGGCGTCGACACAGTTCCGTTTGTCCCCGCCGCTGTCAGCTGTGGAGAAAGAAGTGGACAAGGTCTCATTATCATGTGGGAGGGAACGGCTGGCGGTCATGTTTGTGTGACACACGGTGGCAGTTGTGCACACATCGGACATCCTGCCCGCACCCACGGGTGACCTTTAACACCTTCAATGAATTCATCCTTGTAGATAAATAAAGAATGGGAATGATGGGCTAGCGAAAGGTTGTTTCTTTTTTTAGTTTTTGCTCGACCTATGAAGCGATAAAACCCTTATCGGGTCCATGCTCTTCRAAAACGTGACAAGCTTCCAACCTCTCCTGAAGCTTAAAAACAACTGAAATGTTTATTTTTGATCCCCTTGTCTGTCTTATTCCATAGCTGACACTTCAGTGGTTGGTGGGCTTTTTTTAAAGACTCTGTTTTAGTTTAAATACAGTTGCTGGAACGGAGAAAAAGTCCATCCCATAAAAGATTTTGTTGGAATTCCAGCCGCCTCACTAATCGCTCCTTCGATCTTTTTTTTTTTTTTTTTTCCTGTTTTGTTTCCCAGGGGAAAGTTTGCAGTGGTGAAGAAGTGCCTGGAGAAGGCAACGGGAAAGCAGTACGCTGCCAAGTTCCTGCGAAAGAGACGAAAGGGAGCGGACTGCCGCATGGACATCTTGAATGAGATTGCTGTGCTGGAGTCGGCCAAGGCCAACCCTTATGTGGTGGGACTGCATGAGGTCTACGAAACCAGCTCCGAAATCATCCTCGTCCTGGAGTGGTGAGTTTGGAGCCTGAGACGTGAGAAGCATCCCTGAAAGCAAATCGCATGCTAATTCAGTTCAGAACTAAAACACGGCAAATCCTGGCTTGCATTACAGCCGATGGTATGATAATCTTTTTTTAAAGGGATCCATGATTAGTTGTAACATTAGACTTTATTTGCTAAACATATATTTTAACTGTAAAGCAAATACTGTAAAAATACTGTAGGATGTTTAGTTTTTACAATTTGTAAACTAAAAGTTTAAAATATATTACACGGACAGAGCCATTTTATTTACACGCAAAGCATTCTGGGTAAATGATGACGTGGAAAGGTCATCGGTGCGAGGCTGCTAGCGAGCTATATCCACCCTGAAGGTTAATCTTGGACAATATCTGACGATCAGCTCTTTTAAATGAAACCAGAGAGCGTTGACAGAGAGGAGRAGGTAGAAATGACTCAGCCTGTAACTGAAAATATAGATGGAGGACAACAGAGCTGCTTCATGGAAGAAGAACCTCAGCTTAGCCTATTAGCTTTAGCTTTAGCCCCGACGCTATCATCCTCTCGTCACTGAGGTCCTCCATCCACATGACAGAGAGGGGAATGCAAAAATAACTCAGCTGCAACTGAAAATATGGATGGAGGACCTCAGTTTAGCTTGTTTGTTGCGCTGAGCTAATACATATAAGGTAATATAGCGTCGGCGCTAGCGCGAAGGCTAACAGGCCAAGCTGAGGTTCTTCTTCCATGAAGCAGCTCTGTTGTCCTCCATCTATATTTTCAGTTTCAGGCTGAGTCATTTCTACCTCCTCCTCTCTGTCAACGCTCTCTGGTTTCATTTAAAAGAGTCGATCATCAGATATTGTCCAAGATTAACCTTCAGGGTGGATATAGCTCGCTAGCAGCCTCGCACCGAGGACCTATCCACGTCATCATTTACCCAGAATGCTTTGTGTGTAAATAAAATGGCTCTGTCCGTGTTAAAATATATTTTTAAAAATTTACAAAACTGTACAACCTACCGTATTTTTACAGTCTTTATTTTACAGTTAAAACAAATGTTTATCAAATAAAGTCTAATGTTACAACTAATCGGGGATCCCTTTAACTGTTCCATATTTGTCARAAAAAACTGCAATAGCATAATTAGGCTTCACGAGACAAACTTTTATGTTTTTCTCGCGAATACACAGACATGAGTAAAATGCACATCCTTTGCATCGTTTCATAAACTCGGCGTTCAATGGAAACTCTCTCGCTCTCTCTGTGTGGTTCACTGTGCTTCTCGGTGTTGCCACACCACCAAGGTTTCTTGTCATGATTTGCTGACAGGAACTGTCACTTCAAACACCATCGAGGCCAAAGTCGCAAACTGCCCGAAAACGATCGTCACAAATTAGTCATCGAGATGACACTTGTAAAAACTTGCTGATCAGAGCTTAAAGGCAGCGGCTGCTGATTTTTGACTGCACAGGTGGAGGCGTTAAGCTGCTCGTTCACTGACACAGCAGTCTCACAACAGCCGTCTGTCTAAAGAACATGATGCAACAGGTGGATGTTCTCCCACTGCCATAGGTTAAGGCATGGGTCTGCAACCTGCGGCTCTGGGACTACATGTGGCTCTTTGAAACTGTGGCCAAACATAACAATGATTGTTTTTGTTTATACGCACAACGAAAATCCAGTTGTATGCAAATATGTGATCAATACTATTAATACAAAATGTAAAACATGATTAGCTAATGCTAGCTTGTTGTGTACTTAAATAATCCAATTTCTTTCTATGAACTTTCTCTCAAATCCATCAGAATTACCTTTAAAGAATTTGAAGACTACATAATAAGACGAATTAGAAAAAGAAGTGCCTGAATAGTTCAGTTGTACTAGGTTTTATGAAATTCGGTATAAACTGTATGCAGTATTTTTTTTTGTTTACATGAATGTGGTCTTCATTTGTCCTGAAGTGTAAAAATAACAATAAATAATGAAATTCACAATATATATTTTTTGTTTATAATGTCACCTTCACTGGCCGTAAAGGTTCCCGAAAAGGCCTCGAAAAGGCCCACGGAC